CCGACCTCTCCCTAAAAGCCCCTTCCCCTGTCTGACTGCTCTCACCACCAGAAAGGCCTTCCTAATGTTTTGTGGGAATCTCATTAAGCCTACAGAGCTATATATGCAAATGGATCTACTTATTCTTTCCCTTGAAGATACATTGATTTGTTTGTTACTGTGGTTTCGATCAATACTTTCCAAAGATCTTTACATTTGTCCATGCATGATCTTTGTCTGAAAGCTCATGGGTTGCAGGAGTTGTCATAGGAGGTTATATTTTTGTCCTTCCAACTGTTATGGAAATTACAGGGGGGGGCATCTTTAAAGTTGTTAAATGTTGCAAATATTATGCCTGAATGTACCCTTTCAACTTGACAGCTCAGGGAAGTTACCTAGATAAAATCCTGTAACACAATGTATCAGCCTTAATCATTTTGCAGATGTTAGGGGGGGGGCAGAGCCTGCAGCCACCATCCCTTTCCGGTGGGGAGGGGGCAGAGGAAAGACAGGAAGCTTTTCCCTGCAGAGTTAGACCCCTTGGCTGCGTGGCCCTCGGGTCCCTTCAAACTCCTGGGCGTTTTGCTGGTGGGGGGCTGTGTGGGGGCCTGGGCGATGTCAGAAGAGGAAGCTTGCAGGCCTGGTTGTCTGTTGGGGGCAGCAGGAAGAGGCGGAGGGCAGGATGTGCAGCCCCTGCCTGGCTTTCCTGTGGGACCAAGGAAGCGGCTGGGGGGGGGGGGACTTGGCCGCTGGCCTTTGTTGCGGAGGCGGCAGTGTGGGAACGCCAGTCCCAAGGGCAGCCTCTGGGGTCTGGGTGCTGCTGCCTGTTTCCTGCCATGGACTTGGCGGGGGGGGGCTGTGCTATTGGGCTGGCAGAGACTTAACGGGGGCTGCCTCTCCCAGCCAAAGCTGACCCACAAAATTGCAACCCAGTGTGTGTGTTTGTGTGTGGGGGGGAACCAGCCTGCACAGGGTAAGCCCCGATGGGGCTCCTGGGCTCCTTCTGATGCATGAAAATTGGAGGTTGTCCTTTACAGCTCAGCTCCCCAAGGGGCTCAAAGCCTCCCAAGTCCATTATCAGTCGGAGACGAATGAGTGGAAGCTGGAAGAAAGGGGGAATCTTTATTTTTCTGTTGAAACAGAGCCCTCCTTCCCACTGACATTTGCAAGGAGGGGAGGACCCCAAACAAAGGTGTGCAGCAGCTTTGAAAGACTTTTCCGGCTCAACATCAGGAAGAGCTTTCTGACAATAAGAGCTGTTCAGACGGTCTCTGCTCCCTGGAAGAGGCTAGGTGGCCATCTGTCAGGGATGCTTGAGCTAAGATTCCTGCATTGCAGGGGGCTGGACTAGATGACCTTGGGGTCCCTTCTGTCTCTATGATTCTATGATTAGCATAATACAAGCATCTCAGGAAGAGGCATCTACCAACAGAAATCCAAGAGTGTGGCTTCTCTCCTGTCTGTCAAGGGACCTGCAGATGCTGATTGCCTTACTTGGCCAGTTCCTTAGGACTGGTACATACAGTCATACCTCGGGTTACAGATGCTTCAGCTTAAGCATTTTCAGGTTATGGATGCACTGAAACCCAGAAGTACCGGAATGGGTTACTTCCAGGTTTCGGCACTTGTGCATGAGCAGAAGCGCTAAATCACAACCTGTGTGTGCGCAGACGCAGCAATGTGAGTTGCGAACACTGCGGGTTGCGAACGTGCCTCCCACATGGATCACGTTCGCAACCCGAGCGTCCACTGTACCTTGGTTCTCGAACAGAATGCGTTCCGGGAGTCCATTGGACTCCTGGAACCATTTGAAAACCAGAGTGCGGCTTCTGCCAGAGGAGCCCCCTGCAGCCAATCGGAAGCCGCACCGGATGTTCGCCCTCCAAAAATCATTTGAAAACCAGAACACTCACTTCCGGGTTTCGATTGTTCAGAAGCCGATTTGTTTGGGAGCCAAGGTGCTCGGCTTCTCAGGTACAACCGAACCTGAGTCCTTGGGGGCGCCGCCTCCCCGGGCGGGAACGCTGCGGGTGCACGAGGGAGGAGGGCGGCCCCTGGGGGCTGGGAGAGCCAGGCTGCCGTGGCCGAGAGGGCTGCTCTGCTGGGCGCCGCTGACATTGGAACTTAGAAAACTTCCCGGGGCAGGACCCCGGTATGGGCCCCCCCAATATTTTTTATAAGTCGGCGCCCCTGGTCAAACGAGCCCAGATCTCTTTGAGCCAGGATCTCTCCCACGCACAATAAGGTGGAGCATCAAAGAACTGCCTCCATGCTCTCAGTCTGCAGATGTCAATCAGCCCAGTCGGGACAGGAGGAATGGAAGTGAGCTAGGACCCTGATCCAAATCTGCCACCCCTCCCATTCTGCCACTGAAGTTCCCGCCTCACCTTGGCTCATTATAGAGTTAGCCCTGGGAGTACAAATGCCACAAACCAACGTTCCCTCCAGATATTTTGAACTACAACTCCCATCAGCCCCAGCCATCACAGTCCAAAACATCTGGAGGGCACCAGGTTGGGGAAGGCTGCCATAAATGACTGTGCTCAAGAGTAAAGCAGAAACACTTTTAGCCATGGGTGCAACTACTCTCCCTTTTGCTTCCAACTCAGGCTGTGCACACACAGCAGGTTAAAGTGGATTCAGTGCATCCCAGGTGGATATAGAAGCAGCATCTGGAACTCCAAACTTCATGCTGTACTTGATTCTAGAATCCAACAAACAATATTTCTGTATTTTATGCTTCTGTGTTCACATTGCTGTCAGCAGAACGGGGGAGGGTCATTATTACTGTTGCTATATTTGTATTATCTATGTTTTGCTATTTCTTTCTACATGTGCACTAGAAACTTGCATTATATTCCACTATAGTTCCAGATGTGCCTTTTATGCCTTGTGAAAGCTCAAATATAATGTGGAACTTAACAGTCAGGGGAAAGTCTGAAAATGAAATACTGTATACTGCTGTGTGAAGGCAGCCAAAATCGGATATTTGCGAACAACATGCGCCTTAGTGCTCTGGTGTGCACTACTACCACAACTCTCAAAAGATAGCAATTAGATTTACAGCTGCTATCAAAGTTACTTATCTGCAGGTAGTGACACAGGCTAGGTGTGGCTGCTCATCAAGCCATCACCAGGGTGCCAGGAGGAAAGAACACTTCAAAATAAAAAGCGGCATCTCCCACTGATCAAAGTGTATAGGTCAATTAGTGTCATTCAGGAAGTGATTTATTTATTTTTTAGAGAAAGAGGAGCCAGATTGCTCACCATAAACTTTTCCATTGTTCTCTTAGAATGACAATGGTCAACCAGATGCCCATATGGGAAGCCACAAAGCAGAACCTGAATGCAACAGCAGCACTCTCCCCTCTTGTGATTTCCAGCAACTGACAGTCTACCGGCATTATGGCTTTATCATCCGACTATGGAGGCAGAGCATAGCCATCACCACAAGACGCCATTGATAGTCTTATCCTATGTGAATTTGTCCATGCCGTTTTGCCACCTGAGGCAAGCAAGAAAATGGACACACAGAAACACCCCGAAAATTATGGAAAGTGAGATTGTTAAGGGGGCTGGAAACCATTGCTCTGTGAGGGGTAACTGTCTGCCAAGACTAGATCACTAAAACTCTTCCGGCTAGGGGAGGTAAGGGGGGGGAGTGCCAGGAGACAGAGGCAGCCACACAGCTGGGTGAAGAGCAGCTATGGTAACAGGAAAGTACTGCTGCTAAGGGGGTGCAATTCAGGGGGAGCACCATGAGAGGAGCCGCAAAATGGCTGCCACCTTTCTGGAGATTCCAGTAGGAAGCGAAGATGCTGCTGAAGAGCTGCTGCTCCAAGGGGGCACAAAATGGAAAGGAAAAACACAAACATCTAGCTGCCAAGCTGCTATAATTCCCACATACACACCACAACAGGACTAACAGGACTCTCTTGCCTTCAGTCAATCCCAACTAGACCTGATGAACAGGATGAGGGCAGCAGAGAGGAAACAAAGTTTGGAGAAAAATGAGAAAAGGGGTATTTTTTTCTCTTAATGAGGAAAACACAGAGAAGAGTTGTTCTTCTCCTTTCACTCTTGCCTTCCTTCTCTTGCTTCTCTGCAGCCCCACCAGCAATGAGCAGTGGCAGGAGCAGAAACAGCCATGGCTGGCAGGCAGGCAGGCAGGCAGGCAGGCAGGCCAACCCCTCACCTGGCTCTGTGACGCATAGGCCACCCACTGAAAATGCAACCACAAGATCAAGGAGGACGCCTGTCTCTACCAGCCCTGCCCTCCACCAGCAGTCAGTGGCATGGACCTGCTCTTACCTGCCTGGAGCCACCACCAAGCGGGGCTGCTTTCTGGGAGGAGAAGAAAGCCACAAGGTGAGTTGCCATCAGGTGGGATTGCATCACTCTCCACACACACACCCTCCCCGTCCCTCACATTTGGCACTGAAATTGTGCCCAGGCCAGGAGAAAGAGGAGGCATCACCTCTGTGTCCAAGCATGTAGGAGACAAGAGGTGGGTGGGGCACCCAAATCCAAGTCTTCTGTGCACATGCACGCACATGCATAGACACCCTGAGTGCTGCTTGAGGAGACCTGCCTCAACAAAGCTCATGGTAGTGCAGGCCCTATCTCTAATGGGAGAAAATGCTATAATTTAGCTTTGCATTGTGTGAAGAAGCACTTTGTTTTGTCTGCCCTGAACATGTCAACATTCAGCTCTACCATCTATAATTACGTACATGTCAATATCATGTCCCACACCTCCATGTTTGCCTTTCCGCTAAACTCAGCTGCCCAAAATGTTGCAACCATTCCTCTTGCAGAAGTTTCTCCATCCCTTTGATCATTTTGGTTGCCTGCTTCTGAAGCTTCTCCAGTTCTACAGCATTCTTTTTGAGGCAACGCAACCATAACTGTAATGGGCACGGTGCCCTGAGAGATACAGTGAACCCAAGCAGCTGATATTGTTCTGTGGCTCCTCCCAAGCTGTTATTTATTGGCTGTAGGGTGGCAAGTACACCACAGAGTTTGCACCTGCTTGTCTGTTCCTGGTGCGTCAATCAAAGAAACCGATCACTCTTTGCAGCAAGTAGAGGTTCCCTGGAATTCCTCTTTTGCATCACCTGCTGCAGGAAAAGCTTCAGGGCCACAAGAGAAACTTCAGCAAAGGGAGGTGTAGTCCAGCCTGCCACACACCAGGATGCTCCTGAAAGCTGCTTGCCTGCTCCTCTCCTGCCTCTTGCTCTGCTCAGCAGATCAGTATCAGCAGGAGGCAGAGAGAATCATGAGGACATCACCTGTGATAGATGGGTAAGACCACACTTCCTTCCTATGCCTTCTGGGGGAAGGGCCATACAGAAGATCTCATGGTCAATCCAAGCAGGGCTGGGGAAGGATCCTGCCTGAAACCCCGGGGGAACTGTTGCCAGTCAGGGTGGACAGAACTGAGCTAAATGGACCAATGGCCCGACTCAGGAGAAGGTAGCTTCCTATGTTCCTAATTAGGGTTCAAGGCAGGCTCAGCATGTGGCCAGAGGGGTCATTTAGGCCTCAGGAAAGGTACACACTTCAGGCTGCCCTTTGGACAATGGTGGGTTCCTCCAGATCTTCAGTTGTGGGGAGGTTCTCCATGGGGTCCCAAGCCTCTTACTCCAAAGAGGTCTTCCCAGAGTCTGGATCAGATGGGATACTGTCACCAACCCTCTTTGCATTTTCAAGGGCCTTTTGAAACATCACAGAAGGGCTGGTTCACACATTGTCCTCCAGAAATACCTTGTTGTAAAAGCAGTAACCCTGCGGAAGGAAGGATGCAGAAGGTGCCTGAGCTGGGTAGGTCCAGAAGGGAATGACTCCCAGGCTTTTAGGGCACTGACCTGGAGGTTTGGGCTTAATAGCAGCTGTAGAAGCTGTTCTCCAAGTTAATCATTAGCAGGCAAATGGGCAAATTACTGCCCTTTGGTGCCATTCAAACCTGTCATTCTCTCTGGAATAAGAACAATAAGTACAGCTAGGTGGCCTTGCAATTGTGAAATTAAGAGCTCTTGCCTCCCTGCCAGGCCAAGCCCTCTGAGATATTGGCACATCTCAGAGGCCTCAGCCTGCTGCTTTCTGATTCCAAAAATTCTGCTATATAGGACACAGTGCCAGGGAATGTGGTGGTGGTGGTGCTGTTGCTGTTTAAGGTTGACTTAGGCAAAGGAGCATCTGAGCATATGTAGGGCAACTCTCCCATCTTGAGAATATCCAGTTTGGGTGCTACCATGTTTATTGAGAGAAAGCTCTCATTGGCTACTAGACACGCTGGTTTTGGTCTTCTTCCAATGTCAGAGCAATATGCCTCTGTCAACCAGTTGTTAGGGTTCACAAGTGGGGAGAGTCCTGTTACACTCAGGTCCTGTTTGGCAGCTTGCCCTCAAGGCATCTGGTTGGCCACTGTGAGAACAGCTGGACTAGATAGGGCCATGGCTTGATCCAGCTGAGGCCCCTGATGGTGTTACCGTAGTTTAAGGTATTTACAGTGGTACCTCGGGTTACAGACGCTTCAGGTTACAGACTCCGCTAACCCAGAAATAGTACCTCAGGTTAAGAACTTTGCTTCAGGATGACAACAGAAATCGCGCCGCGGCCGCGGCGTGGTGGCAGCGGGAGGCCCCATTAGCTAAAGTGGTACCTCAGGTTAAGAACAGTTTCAGGTTAAGAACAGACCTCCAGAACGAATTAAGTTCTTAACCCAAGGTACCACTGTATATGCCACTTAATTACCAAAGTTTCTAAGAGGATAGGCATTCACGCAGGAGGCAAACAAGACTGGAGAGTAAAAGTCCGATCAGCATGCCTAAGAGAGCAAGAAATGAGGCCATGGAAGAGAAAAAGGCAGCAGTCCTAGCAACCAAGAAAGCAATAAGAGCACTAACTAGGTGTTTCACTTGGGAAAGAATCATAAAATTCTAGAGTTGGAAGGGTCCCTCAGGGTCATCTAGTCCAATGCAGGAATTCTTTGCAGTTACTCAGAATCATAAAGGAAATTTGACCAGACTTTGGCCCTGCATATAATTTCCAAAGCATGGGCATTTATGTCATTATTATGACCTAATCACGATGTCTGTAAAAACTGGGCTGGCCCATTGCCAGTTTGCTGCAAAAGTCAAAACAAACCAAGAACATGAGAAGAGCCATAAAACTGAATGAGATCAAAGGCCCGTTTAAGTCCTACTATTCTCACAGTTGCCAATCAAATGCCTTTAAGAAGGCTGCAAGCAGGACCTGAGTACAAAAGCGCTCTCCCCATTTGTGACTCCCAGAACCTGGTATTCAGAGGCATTATGCCTCTGAGAGTGGAGGTAAAACACAGCTGTGGACTATAAGGTGAAAATGGCTATACAAAATGAACTAAATTGAATAATGAATTAAAAACAATAAGGTCAAAAATTGGGGATAAGAACTTGTTGAACTAAATAAGTGGAGAGGGAATACAAGAAGGGGAGGTGTGGGGAAGTCTTGGAAAGATGTCATTGAAAATAAGGTTTAAATGGTAAATGTTTTCTTTTTTTTCTTTTTCTTTTTTCTGTATTTTTTGAAAATTGCAATAAATATGATATTAAAAAAAACAAACAAACACAGCTTTCAGGGTCAATGGCCATTGCAATCCTTATCCGCCACGAATTGGTCTAATCCTCTTCTAAAGCCACCCAAGTTGGTGGCCATCACTATATATTCCAGGGAGTGAATTCCATAGCTTAGCAAGACGCTTGCTTCACGGAAACTAAATGGTGTGGCTACTGAGTCTTATTTCCACTCTAGTGACTGGATAGTGATTGCCTGAAGACAGCAGGCTAGTTGGAGGGGGAGGCAGGGAGAGAGACAGGCTGAGTAACATACAAAACTCTGTCCTCCAACGGGGGTAATAGAGTGGCAAGGCTTAGGAGGAACAGCCAGGGGACTGTTGCTGCTGCTGTCCCCCAAAAGCTCATTCACCTCCTCAAGAATAATGCAAACTGTAGTTTACCCCTCACAGAGTTATAGTTGCTAGTTCCCTTAACAAACTACAATTCACAGGATTCTTTTTTTTGGGGGGGGGGACATACTTTAAATGCAGGGTGTTATGTACAGCCGTCACCTCAGCGTTAAGTGGTTTGTGGGTGGTTAACATGGGTTTTGCAGTTTTGTCATGGTGTGCATGTGTGAAATGGCCTTTTGGGCCAGCTCAGGCATTCAGGATCATCTCTTGAGAGTGCTACTGAAGTCAAGTGGATCTGTCACTCTTTCCACTCCCTTTGCCGAAGTATTTCCATTAAGGCTTGAAGGGTCAATTCCCATGTTCTTGTTCAAAGGAATCCCATGAATTCCTTAGAGTTACTGACTTAGAGTTACTGTCTTTCTTTTCCTCCTCCTGTAGAAATTGAGTTTTAGCATGTTCTCTTTCTCTGTGTGCCCTTTTAAAGCCATGAGAAGATGTACACCTCCTAATGGCTGTAGAAAAAACTAATGAGCGCATTACCCTGTCATTAAGGCTGCTGTCCTACAAATATTTACTAGAGAGTAAGCTCCATTAAACACAGTAGGACTTACTGTACTTCCACATAGTAATGGTGAACAAACTTAATTCAATTTGCATTCGCAGGCAAACTCACCTTATTTGCACTTTTGGAAACAGTATGAGAACTAAAACTCACCCTTCAAAATTTGCCTTTATCCAAATTTTGCTACACAGTCAGCAGCCACATAATGTGAACAAAAATGCATACAAATGTATGCATATAAGTGCATATAATAGTGAAAATCACATTCCAAAATGCATTGTGTTACAGAAATTTGTGTAAGGCAAAATAGCATGTTAAAATGTGTAGGGAGCAGGGAGAAATTCACACAAAAATGCTGAGGTATTTTCAAGAGAACTTAAAGAGATAAGAAAAAAAGTTTCAAACTCACGTGGAAATGTAGCAAACTGAACTTAAGTTTGGAAAAGTGGGAAACTGAAAGAAACCAAAATTGCCATATTTGCCCATCACTGCTTCCAAGTCAGCATGCATAGGATTATGCTGTGAATATCATTTTCAGAACACAAACCACAGCTGGAAAGTTAATAGCAAGTCCTATTTTCACAAAGGGCTGGACAGAGTAACAGACTGGAAAGTGGAAATGTCTATCTTAGTCATTTATTTTCCTTTTTGAGGGTAGATGGTAACGGGAAAATAAAAGTCATATACAATGACTCACAAGCTCTTTTCTTTTTTATTCCTTCCTAGGAAGGTGAGCATAGGACTGTTTCCAAAGTTGAAAAAGTTCATTTATATATAAGCTTCATCCTACCGTTAGGCAAAGTGAGGTGGCTGCCTCAGGCAGCAGCAGGTGTTGAGGTACAAGGGTAGCAGTCCTCTGGCTGTTCCTCCTAAGCCTCCCACCCTTGCCGCTCTATTCCTACCATTGGAGGATAGAGTTTTGTATGCTACACAGCCTGTCTCTCTCCCTGTATCCCCCTCCAACTAGCCTGCTGTCTTCAAGTGAGCACTATCCAGTCACCAGAGCAGAAATAAGGCTCAGCAGCCATACCATTCCGTGGAGTAGATGGGGCAGGAGTAAGCAGATGACTTGCGAAGTTATGGAATTCACTCTAGAATACATTTCTTGGCCAAACCATCCTTCAAGTGGAATAATCCAAAGTTTAGGATTGTGTTCACAGCAATATGCAGGTATCACACAGCTCTGTTTCTCCTTTTACATCTGCACGTGTGGCAGCAGATGTGCTCGCTTTATGTCTGGCCTCAGTAATGGACTGGATGAGAGCCAAGGCAGATAAAACTAAGGCATGTTTAGTGGGTGGTTCCCTGGACCAGATGGGTAGAATGCTGGTTGCACTGGGTGCGGTTACCCTTTCTCTGGAAGGGCAGGTGCACAGTTTGGGAGTATGCATTGGATCCACTCCTATCATTTGAGGCTCAAGTGGCCTTGATGGTGCCTTCTATCAGCCTTGGCTGGTAGCCTAGCTATGCCCTTCTCTGGACAAAGGCAGCCTAAGTTGTGCAGTGCTGGGCCTGCTGACTTATTGTTATTTTACCCTCTCCTGTTCTAGGCACAATGACTTACCTTGGCAGTTGCTGAAAAAATTCAACAACCAACTGTCTCTGAAGTCTGCAAATCTGACCACGCTGAATGACACTCACACGAACATCCCAAAGCTGCGTCTTGGACACGTGGGAGCACAGGTACAAACAGTGGAGAAGAGACAGAAAAATAGAACAGGTGAAATGTGCACTTCTGTCAAACCATTTGGTTATTCGGACACTTTGCAAGTTTCCAACCCCTACAGGCTATTTTTCAGAGAAAAATATTTGGTAATGCATTTGTGTTTTCCCATGTGCCACAGTATCACATCAGTACAGCAAGCATACCACTAAGTGGCTAACTTAATGCTACGTTGGTTGTGTTCAGGCTGTTTCCCAGCTGCCAGGTGGCACAGGTGGCGCTGTGGTCTAAAGTATTGAGTCTCTTAGGCTTGCTGATCAGAAGGTCTGTGGTTTGAATCCACACAACGGGGTGAGCTCCCTTTGCTTTGTCCCAGCTTCTGCCAACCTAGCAATTTGAAAGCATACCAGTGCAAGTAGATAAATAGGTACTCCTATGGTGGGAAGGTAAACAGCGTTTCCGTGCGCTCTGGCACTCATCTCGGCCCTCCGTGCCCCTGTAGAGGTTTAGTCATACTGGCCACTGACAGGAGCTCGTCCTACACTTGAGTAGGACCCTGGCAGAGACACATGCCCAACTAGTATGTTCCCTCCCTCCTGGTCGATCATTCGGGAGCTTCAAAAGCTTTCTTCAGCCCGAACATCACAGCGACTGATGCCAACAGACACACTTAGGGATCCACAGAGTCCTCGCAGCTTGCATGACAGACCTTAGCAACTCAGCATTTTGGCTAATCTACTTTATTTACATATAAACACACACGGAGCACTGCAACATGGCTCCCTCTCTCTCTAGCATCAGATAGCAAAGAGAAAAAGAACAAAGGACAATAGTCCCACATCACAGAACACAGTAACACAAACATCCTGTCTCCGTCACTTCCCACTTTGTGGAGTCAAAACATATACCATCATGTGATAGACAACAATCCCATGACTGCAATCACGGAGCAGGAATTCTAACAGCCACATGACCTGGAAAGCTGTCTGTGGACAAATGCCAACTCTCTCAGCCTGAAGCAAGATGAGCACCGCAACCCCATAGTCGCCTTTGACTGGACTTAACCATCCAGGGGTCCTTTACCTTTGCCTTTAGTGTATGAGAGACCCATTCTGTGGAAGATGAAACTCCACTATATGCTCACTTTCTTACCACAAACAACACACAGAGCTTCCTGTCCCTACACTCAGTGCAAAACCATATGTGGACTAAGCGATTGGAGCAAGCATTGTCTTGTCAAGATTCTACAGACTGGTTCTCCCTCACCAGAAGTTATAATGTTTGCTGATGTTCCATGGCATCCCAGCAGCTCATTCCATGGTTTGGGGGGGGGGGGAGTGTGCATGAAAGAGGCAGTTTTCCTAGCCCTTGGAAACCTTCCTTTTTGCTTTCCTCTCTCCTTGCTCAGTTCTGGGCTGCCTATGTGCCCTGCGAAACCCAGAACAAAGATGCTGTCAAGAGAACCTTAGAGCAGATTGACGTCATCCATCGCATGTGTCACCACTACCCGGATGACTTTGAGTGTGTCACTAGCAGTGCAGGTAAGAGAGGAAAACAACCTAGACAGGACAGCTTCTCCCAGGCTGGAGATGGGTAGCCCAGGATGTGAACACATTCATTCAGCCTGACCTGCAACAATTCAACACAGGGCAAGACCTTGACAAAAGTGAGAGGTCCCAGGGCAGGGAGGCTGGCTGCTGCCCCATTCCTATCTGTGATGGAGCAGGAAGGCCAGTGGGGCTGCAGGATTCAATTGAATACAGGCTACCATTCATAGTAGGGACAATTTCAGCAGGTGCCACATTCCCCATGGTTGTGCTTTGGTGGTGGGAGAATCATAGAATCACAGAATTGCAGCGTTGGAAGGGGCCCATAGGGTCATCTAGTCCAACCTCTGCAAAGGATTCTCGCTGAGGAACCTCCTGCCAATAGAGATTCATCAGGTGTGCTATGTACCAACTTTTAAATGGCTGCTGAAAACTATTCAGGCAATTAAGCGTACATTCCCAATAATGGTCTATTGATTTTTTTCCCCGTTTTTATTTTTGCTTTTAACTTGCTTTTAACTTTTTATGATGTTATTGATTGGTTTTATGTTTTTATATTGTTGTATACTGCTGTGATATATTTTAATGATGCAGCCGTATATAATTTTTTAATAAATAAAGCAAGAATCACAGCTTAAGAATTTCTGACAGATGGCTATCCAACCTCTGTTTAAAAACCTCCTGCAAAGGAGAGTCCACCGCCTTCCAAGGTAGTCCATTCAGCTGCCAAATAGCTCTCACCATCAAAAGAGTCTTCCTCATGTTTCGTCAGAGTCTCCTTTCTTGTACTTCGAATCCATTGGTTTGGGTTCTGCCCTCTGGAGCAGCAGAAAACAAGATTGCTCCATCTTCCATGCGACAGCCCTTCAGGTATTTGAAGGTGTCTATCATGTCACCTCTTATAAATCATCTCCCAGAAAGCCTTAATCCTCAGGCACGTCCACCAAAGGTGAAAGAATGTACCTTCAATTTCTTTACATTTCCAACATTTATTATCGGGCAAATGATAGATTTTTGCTAGCTTGACTGGGGTCATGTACCACCTGCACATCATTTTCATAATATTCTCTCTCAAGGCATTACATGCCGTGAATTTAATCCCAGTGGTCCACAACTGCTCCCAGTCAGCAAACATAATATTATGTCCTATATCTTGTGCCCATTTAATCATAGCAGATTTTACCGTTTCTTCTTCAGTACTCCATTTCAACAGCAAATTATACATTCTTGATAATATCTTAGCATTAGGTTCTAACAGTTCTGTTTCCAACTTTGATTTTTCTACCTGGAAACCAATTTTTTTATCCTGATTATAAACCTCTCTTATTTGAAAGTAGTGTAACCAGTCTCGCACCTTCCCTTTAAGCTTCTCATAACTCTGCAATTTCAGCTTGTCACCTTCCTGATCCAAAATTTCACAATACTTTGGCCATTTTGCCTCCATATTAAGTTTTTTCATAGCTTTCGCTTCCATAGGTGATAACCACCTTGGAGTTTTATTCTCCAAGAAATCTTTATATCTTGTCCAGACGTTAAATAGTGCTTTCCTGACAATATGGTTTTTGAATGCTTTATGCGCTTTAACCTTGCCATACCACAAATATGCATGCCACCCGAATACATTATCATAACCTTCAAGATCTAGAATGTCAGTGTTCTCAAGAAGTAGCCATTCCTTCAACCAGCAAAAAGCTGCTGATTCATAATAAAGTTTAAGGTCCGGCAGGGCAAACCCCCCTCTGTCTTTAGCATCAGTAAGTATCTTAAATTTTATTCTGGGCTTTTTGCCCTGCCAGACAAATCTAGAGATATCTCTTTGCCACCTCTTGAAACAGTCCATCTTGTCAATAATTTGTAATGATTGAAACAAAAACAACATTCTCGGCAATACATTCATCTTAATAACAGCAATCCGACCCAGCAAGGAAAGCTTCAAATTCGACCAAATCTCTAAATCTTTCTTCACTTCTGACCAACATTTCTCATAATTATCTTTGAATAAATTTGCATTCTTGGCAGTCATATTCACCCCCAAGTATTTTACCTTCTTTACTAATGTCAAATCTGTCTCTTTCTGAAACCTCTCTCTCTTCATTGGCGTCAAGTTTCTCCTTTTTCCCCAGGCTAAACATACCCAGCTCCTTCAGCCATTCCTCATATGGTTTGCTTTCCAGACCCATGATCATCTTGGTCACCCTTCTCAGCACACATTCCAGCTTGTCAATGTCCTTTTTAAACTGTGGGTGCCCAGGACTGGACACAGAAGCAGCCCTGCCAAAATTCTCCCTACTATAGAAGAGATTATATTCCCATTGGATCCCACAATGGGTTACTTGGTGATAAGGGGCTGATTTAGAGTGCTTCCACCTCCCACACCTGTCCTGACCCCACTCTCTGCAGATTCCTCATATCTTGTTTGGTGTTAGAAGGCCACAGGAGATGTTTTCCTTGCAGGTATCCAGAATGCTTTCACCAATGGACGGGTGGCCAGTCTGATTGGCGTGGAGGGTGGGCACTCGATAGACAGCAGCATGGCCGTCCTGCGCACCTTCTACCAGCTAGGGGTGCGCTACATGACCCTCACCCACAGCTGCAACACACCCTGGTAAGGCTGCCTTTGCTAGAGGCTTGCTTTGTGCCTGGTCTCACCAGGGCATAGTCTGCTTTAAATATCAGGGCCCAGCACCAGAGCACTGGGCAAATGTGTCTGAGCAAACACAGAATGCAGTTCCTTTATTTATTTATCAGAATATTTATATACCACTATTCATAGAAATGCAGTCGTACCTAGGCTCCCGAACGCCTTGGGAGTCGAACATTCTGGCTCCCGAAGTGAGTGTTCCTGTTTTTGAGCGTTCTTTTGGAAGCTGAATGTCCAGTGGGGCTTCCACAGCTTCCGATTGGCTGTAGGATCTTCCTGCATCCAATCAGAAGCCACGGTTTGGTTTCCGAACGTTTCGGAAGTTAAACAGACTTCTGGAATGAATTCTGTTCAACTTCCGAGGTATGACTGTATATCAAAGCGATTTACAACATTACATTGTAATGCAATAAAATAATTATTGGACTAAAGGCTAAACATAGCCTTTCTCCTGCTCTGTGTTTCTGTTTTAGTCCTGTGGTTTAGAGGAGATGTTTTGGGTGAATGTAATTTTATTTGAAGACAGAAAGGGGATATTTGGGATTATGCACCTATCTACATGCATCCCTTATGAACATGCGTAAAAGATAGTGTGTATTAACCAAAACTTTTATAACATTCGGCAGGGCTGATAACTGGCTGGTGGACACCCCGGAGGAGGAACCAGTTCACAATGGCTTGACTGAATTTGGGAAGGTGAGTGGAAGCTCTCTAGCAAGTTTGATGGAAATATATGACATTCCTCAGTTTGACTCTCAATCTGAGTCTGTTTTCGCAGCCCTGCTAGGAGATGCTAGAGACTGGACCTTCTGCATTCAAAGCAGATGCTCTGCCACTGAGCTGTGGTCCTTCCTGTTTGCTCAGGTTCAACTCCCAATTTGACAACTGTATGAACCCCTGTCACACTTTAGCAAGCTGCTACCCCCCCACCCCCCAATAGCCTGATTTAGCTAAGGATAGGAAGAAAGTGGATATGCTTTGAGTGATATCATCATCGTCATAGAACCACAGAACTGGAGAGTTGTAAAGGATGCCAACAATAATCAAGGCCAATTCAGGAATTGGAGGTAAAGAATCCCTGACCACCCAATCTCTGTTTGAAAATTTCTTCTGAGGCAATCTACTTCCCTGTTGGGCATTGGCTCCTCCTCCTCCTCCTCCTCCTCTTCTTCTTCTTCTTCTTCCTCATCACCTGTTGTCAGGGAACTGACATCAGAGCCAGAGGCGGAGGCAAGGCTCCCAAGCGATGCTGGAGAAGGGCCCAGCAGGGAGAGGCAGCTCATCAGCTGGGGAAGGAAATGAGCGTAACACCAGGGATAAAGGGGGGCAGATGGGGGAATCGGCGAGGGGGCTCCAGGACTCCTCGCCGGGGACCAGCGGGGAGAGCACGGGTCCTCCGCTACCCACACCCTTTCTGCGCAGAAGACTTCCGCGCATAGAGAGTAGGAGGAGACTTGGAGTCAAACAGCTTTTATGCTGGAAAAGGTTTAAGAAACGCCCACTGACGGATTCTGCTAGTGACTGAAACAGCCACGAAGTGAAGGGCTGTCCAGACAGAAAAGGCTTAACCAGGCACACTAGCCAGGAGTGGCGGCAACTTACGCACGAGCAACCCCTATAATCATTACACCTGTCCTTCACCATCAGATCCCAGGGTAGGGTGCAACAATTTAAAATTCAGAATTAAAAAGTTAAAACAGGCTACATTAACAAGAAAAGAGTGGGCCCTAAAAATGCACACCTCAGTTGTCAAAGATGTACGTCTTCAGCATTTGCTGAAAGCTGCATAGTAAGCCAGACACATCTCCATGGAGAAGGAATCCCACAACTTTGCGCAGTGGTTCCCAATTAGCTAATTACTTAGGACCCCCTATTTTTCCAAAGCCATGGACCCTCTACTGTTGAAAATTTTGATAACAGGTATGGTAGTTACCTCTGCAAAGCAAATTTTTTTGAAGAAAATGTGAGGTGGCCCCTAATAAGCAAAGGATTTTAGGTAGGGTTGCCATATTTCAAAAAGTAAAATTCCTGACACCCGCAAAGTTGTTCACCTTTCTTTTCAGAAACCCACCAAAATTGTTAAGCTTTTTTGGGGGAACCTTTCTCCCCAAAATAGTGATTTTAAGCTTAACAATCTACTCAGTGAGCGTCTATCTCTTGGTAAGTGACACTTTGAAGGGTTTGTCCTCACATACTGTAGCTGCTTGTTAAACTCCCCTCTCCTCTTGATCATAAAACTTCGGGAAATACAAAGAGACCCACTGGTTACTCTGCACCCAATTTCTCTCTCTCTCTCCACCCCTTGCCCTGTTTTTCCTCCCTCAAAGCGCTTGGTCAGGGAGATGAACCGTCTGGGAATGATGGTGGATTTGGCTCACGTCTCTGTGAAGACAATGAAAGATGCTTTGAATGTCTCCAGAGCACCTGTGATATTCAGCCACTCCTCAGCCTATGCCATCTGCAAACACCGGCGCAATGTGCCAGATGATGTCCTCCGCGAAGTGGTGAGAAAGACTATGATGTGTGTTTCAAGGTAACCTGTGTCATCCTGGTTCCCTCCAACTGTTTTGGGGTATAGTTACAATTCCCATGAGCTCCTGCCCAAAGAACTAATGCCTGAGCTTGCCTTTTTGCTCCCCCCCCCACCCCACAGTGCCTTTTCCTTTTGTGTCATGACTCTTAGACAGCACAAAATGGGTGGTAGTTGTAGTCCTAAATATCTGGAGGATACCAGGGTGGTGCAGACTGCTATAAAGTGACCTCGTACCAGAGATGTGAGTAGGGCAAGACTTAAGGATATGAGGCAGCACCAAGGTCCCCATGGCAGCCATTTTGTGTTATGCCACACCACTCAATGGCCGCCATTTTTGTGACTCCCGACTTTCTCTCAAAATTCCAACTGTATCCACTGGTCCAAATAGGTTAACAGTCCCTGGGTTAAATAATAGCAGCAGCAAACTTACACACATAATACTGCTGAAATGGGGAGGGGGGCAACCTTGGGGCAATTAGGAGTGGATTTTTGTTCCATTTGGTTAGAATGACTGAATTCCAAGCCCAGGAATTTGTTTTTTGCTTACCAGAAGTAATTCCTGGGCCTGGGCTTCCTTAATTCTAAGTGGCCTGTATTTTGCACATGGCTCTGCTTGGTGGATCTTGGAGGTTCTCATAAAAAACATCACCCCCAAAGTGGATCCCACAAACCATAAGCCTGCCCAGTCCTGTCTTAGAGTGCCAGCTTCTTCCCAGGAACCTGCTTTCTCTGAAATGGCTCCCCTTCCTCCCTTCTACAGAACAAGACCCGTGGCCTTGTGATGGTGAACTTCTACAACACCTATGTGTCCTGTAGCTCCAAAGCCAACCTTACACAGGTTGCAGGTGAGGCAGAGAGGGTGGGGCGAGGGCGCACCTGAGGAGGGGTGGAGTGGGAGAGATCAAAGCACACAAAAGCAGTGAGGGTGTTGACCTCCCAGACTTCTTGCCCACAGACCACATGGACTACGTAAAGCATGTTGCTGGACCAGAGGCAGTTGGCTTTGGAGGAGACTATGATGGTGTTCCCAGGTATCAGAGGAAGGGGGGGAGGAGATAGAAGGATATATCAGATACCCCAGAAATGTCCTTTTTTGAGTCTGTCAGGCTGGCCTGGGCCAAATCAAGCCAAAGCCTGGCCATAGTAGATATTCATGCCTCACCCATCAGAGTTCACTTGACCACTTGCAGACCATAAGTAACTGACTAGTCACACACACACACACACACACACACACACACACACGTTAATTTTAAAATGTACTCAGCCCCCTTTTTGTTACAGTGATGCTTGTGGGGTGACACAATGGTCCCAGATATTGAAGGTCCACATTTTGCATAATTATAGATCACAGAATTGGAAGGTCTCTCAAAGATCATGTAGCCCAATCCCATCAGCGATCCACTCATTTTATTACAATGTACAATTGTCATTATGGATTTATTATTTTTCAACTCTGTCTCTTTTGTATTTCATCTCATTTTCTTGTATTGTACACCACTTTGGCTGTGAGATGATTTATAAATAGAGAGAATAAAATAAGGGCGCTTGGGAGCATGAAGGCTGCAATGGTTGCATGTCTATTACTGTATATGCATATGTGGCTCCACCAAAACTATCTCAGAGATACAACCCAAGAGCCAAGGGGTTCCCAGAGGTGTCTCTTGTTGGCTTCTTGGACCCTGACCAAGGGTATACAGCCGATCAAGGTGCATGAGCCATCAAAGAGAAGCTACTGAGCTGACCCTTCCAGATGCAGCCCGATCTTGAAGCTTCCCTCCTGTTGAGGTAAAATGAGGAGATTTTGCCGGGTGCCGGGAACTCTTAACTCTCATCTCTTGGATTTGTTCCGGCATTCTTTGGCCCACACAGTGTCCCAGATGGTTTGGAAAATGTCTCCAAATACCCAGACTTAGTTGCAGAGCTGCTGAGGAGGAACTGGACTGAGAAGGAAGTGAGAGACGCCCTGACCAACAACTTGCTGCGGGTCTTTGAGAGTGTGGAGCAGGTGAGACTGCCAAGACCAGCAAGGCTCTGTCTGCAGAAGTGTTGGGAGGGGGACACAGAGAGCCTCAGATAATGCTTTGCACTGCTAGGACTGTTCCCCTCTTGGCCCTGTCTCTTCCCTTATTTATGCTAACCTCCTGCCCAAGACATTTTGTTATCTGAAGATGGCTCACACCCCATCAATTCCACGCACAGCAGTCCACCAGAATGGCAGCTGGATCTTCAACACTAGCAGAGAAACACTGCAAGTGAGGGGAGAAAGTCCTGGAATCTTGGAAAGCCACTGACAATCAGTGTTGACAATACTGAGCAGGATGGACCAATGGATCTGACGCAGTATAAGGCTCCTTCCTTTGCATGCAAGGCAATCCCATTTCAGAATCTCTTTTTTTTGTAAAAAGTGGTACAGCATCTGCCTGGCAGGCAGAAGGTCCCAGGTTCAATCCCTAGTAGGTCTGGGAAGGACTCCCTGCCTGAAACACTGGAAAGTGCTGCCAGTCAGTATAGACAATCCTAGACCAAGTGGAATAATGGTCTGACTCAGTATAAGGCAACGTGCAACTGGATGAATATAATGCTAGTCTTGCTGAGAGTAGACTCACTGAAGGTAATATGAATAGCTCAGGTTTATTGATTTTTGTTGATCTATTGTGAGTAGGGCAAACATCGACTGCCACCCTAACTGGATTTTCTTTCCCATTAGGTACGGGACGCAATGGCCCATGAAAAAATAGTTCCTGATGATGGACCCATTGACTTTAAGAACTTGGAGGGGACATGCCGAACAGACTATGGGTACTCTAGCAATGGAGACCATCCCAAACTGCTGCCTGCTGTGCTCACACTCCCTGTCCTCCTTGTGTTGCGCTGGTAGAAGCTTCAGCACCTCCCGTCTTGGTGACCTCATGGAATCTGACTGGTTGAAACATCCCTCCTACCACAAACCAGGCTGCACCCTTGCCCAAACGCTTTAGGAAATTCAACTGAACTATCGATGAATGCGTTTCCAGCTGTTCCCCCCGTCTGGTAGCTTTGGCCCCAGTTCCTCCACCCCCAATAACTGAAAAGCAAAGGGCACCATGCCCATCCAACCCATGGCAACCAAGCTGGACTCATCAGCCTAACAGACCTTCCAAAGTGTGGCTTCCAAGAACACTGAGGACCAAGTTACCTATCAGTCCCAGCCAACCTGGTCAATGGCCAGAGTTGGTAGGAGCTGCAGTCCAGCAAATAAAGAAGAGGCCATTACAGCAGCTACCCTACCTTTGTATGTCCTTTATAGGACACAGGTCCTGCTTGCAGGCTTCCCTTAGGCATCTGGAGCTGTAGTTCAATGGTAGGACATCTTGCTTTGCATGCAGAAGGTCCCAGGTTCAATCCCCAACATCCCCAGGTAGGGCTGGGAGAGAACTCTGTCTGATATCCAGGAAAGCTGCTGCCAGTCAGTGTGGGCAATACTGAGCTAGATGGGCCAGTGGTTTGACAGCTTCCTATGCCCTATGGCTGGCCACTGAGCAAACAGGCTGCTGGACTGGACTGGACTGCTTTGGCCTGATCCAGCAGAGCTCTTCTGACATTCTTGCATCCTCTCCCAACAGTCCAGCATGACGTTTCCTCCTTTCTGGAGTCATTCATGAGCAACCTTTACTCCAGCACTCTCCTGCTCTTTCCCCTTCTATCCTCACTGCGCTTAAGTACTGGTGGGGGACCCCCTCACATGTTCTGTACTGCAGTAATGCCAAGCACACTCCTAGGTCTAAGTAAAAGTTTAACTGCTGTTCAAAGGAGACCAGCTGCCTTTCTCTTTGGAGTCGAATGCATGAACATGGCAAGAGGGACCTCTTCCACCAGCGGAGAAGAGGATCCTTTTTGAAATCTGTTGCTAGGGAGCTCCAGGCAAGGCCAGGGAGGTCATGGTCGCCTCTGACTACAGCCGAGAGGCCCGCGTGACCACCTTCCCCTTCTTGCCAGCCTCGTAGCTTGCGCAAGGGCCCCACAGAGCTGCCAAGCGCCATCCGGGCAGGTGCTGCCGTCTCGCAGCCTCCGTCCAAGCATTCCTCATTAGCCAATTAATTAGCTTATCAAGCAGCTCATTAGCAGCTTCCGGTGGCATTTCAAGAACAGCCTGTCTTTGGACGCGGAGGCGGTGATGGGCACCTGCACAAACAGACCTGGGAAGGGATTCAGCCTGCCTGCTTGTGTTTGCTGGCTGGCTGCGGCACAGGGGCTCTGTATAGGAGAGGATCAGCACCGGGGCAGCAGGTGGAGGCCGTTTCCTGCTTTCGTGGCCCCTGCATAGCCCTGCCTGCTCCCCAGCAGAGAGGAGGCAAGCTAGGAAGACACAGGCAGGCACACACGAGATCCAGGTCTGCCTTACAGTGCAGAAAAGATATCAAAACTGAAACTGGGCCAAAGCTGCCCTGTAGAACCTGGCATCCACCGGTAAGCCTCTGCACTTTAGACCACAGCTCCAACAGCCACTAATCTTTTTTTTTTTTTAATGGCCACTATTATAACCTTGGTATGCCACTGAATACCAGTTGCTGGGGGCACAACAGCACGAGAGGAAGGACCACAGCTGAGCTGTAGAGCCTCTGCCTTGCACACAGAAGGTCCCAGGTTCAATCCAGGTATGGCTAGGGAAAACGCCTGCCTGAAACCATGGAGAGCCACAGCCAATCAGTGAAGGCCACAGCCCTTTAAGCAGTCAGTCAGGACCCACAGGCTATACCAGGTGGCTTGCAGCATGTCTAGATAAGGCCGAAAGAACACTACATGTGGTGTCTAGGTTAGGGCACATTCGTCTGATGACACACACCATTTATAGATTTCCATGGGTGCTACAACATGGCAGGAGAAAAGCATGAGCCATTTTTAAGAACGTACCAGTACATATTTCTGGCCAAGCACATGCCCCACCACCCTACATCTATGCTTCTAGAGAGGAAGCTCTGTACGGAGCACGGGCACTCTGTTCACTTTTGAATCTACTTCTATGGCTTTCTGGACTTCTTCCAGAATGCAAAAACTGGGATTTTTTTTCAACAGCTTCTCAGCCTTTTGACTAAAAATAAGTGTGACAGCCACTGCTTTTCATGTGGTAGCAATGCTAAAGCATACTGCTCTGTGAATTGCTATTTTAGGATTAATAATGTGCATTAAATCAAATGTGAATATTTGACAGCAGGTCCCATGTTGCAGGTTGTGAGTCAGAGGTAGGACTTGGGTCTGGATAGTTGAAGACCACAGGTGTGGACAATACTGAGCTGGATGGACCAATGGTATGAAGCATCTCCCTAGGACTCTATGTAGGGGTTAACCTGAGACTCACTTTTAAATGAAGGGCCCTCTGTGTGCTGAAGGCGGCCAGCCAATTGCTTAAGAAAGAGCTGAATGGTGGGATCACAATTCTGCAGACAAGCAGGGGGGTGGGGAGTGAGAAGCGGAAGCTTCTTTTTTAAAATGAGTAAGGAATGAATTGTGGGTTTGATGCAGACTACAACTGTGATTATTATTGCTATTTTTATTCCACTTTTCAGACAGTTGCCATTTCCCAAAGCAGACTAAAGAAAAAAAAATGAGAGGAGAGTAGGGGAAAGGTAGATGAAGGGTATGTTATTTTAAAGCCAGAGAAATAAGCTGCATAAGATGGCATTTGTAGTGTGAAAAGGGCCAGGCTGATCTCCCCTTGCTGGTGCTGGTCCTTGAATAGCAATTGCTAGCTCTTGTTCCTTTAGCAGATGACGGATGGGGCCAGAGCATCCTTTCTCCTTGCTTCTACAGTCCCAGAGTGACAGGCAATGGGAGCAGAGAGTGGGGAGGCCAGCTCCTTGCATCTGCTCATTCTCTGGCCAGTGGATGGGGTCAGGTTGGTCTCTTATTTGCCCCAATTCTGAGCCACTGCTTTGGCAATCTGACCAGGCAGTGCCCAAGAATGGGATGTGATCAGATACCAGCCTCACAAAGCGGCACAAGGCTGGCTTGGGGAAGGTGGTATGAGTAGCCCCCTGCCTCAAGGAAAATGTGCCCAGGCTAATCACCCCAGAAGGCACGCCCCCCCCCCATGCCTCTGCTGGAGCTAAAGCACATCTAAAGCTGGGCTAAGCAAGCAGCAGCGCCGTTCCTTGGGAGAGGGAGCCCTCTTGTGGCAAGCCTGTTTAATGCAGAACCACACAGAATGTAAGGGAGCAATAGAGTTTACCAACCTTTTTGCACCAGGGGGAGGGACGCAACACCAGAAAGAACTGTCGGGAGCCATGCTGTATTTCGGAAGCTGCAAATTCAATTCCATGCCCTCACCTCGGACACCAATTCTCAGCCATAAGAGCTAGAACAGCAGTTGCTGCTCTTTCATCATGTTGCAGTTGGCATGGCCACCTATTGGCGGACATGTAAGCTGCCCTGTGGCAACAATTTTTCTTACAAAATGAAATGGGAAGGATTGGGCCTCCTCAGTAATTGAACATGGTAGGCGGACACTGTGGATAGGAATCAAGCTTGGATCTCATTCAAAAGGAGCAGCTTTGGGGCCACAGCAGGGAAGGCAGGGATGACGACAGGGCAGGAGACCCTTCTGAGCACCTGGGGGTCTCAGGCAGTGCCTAATCTGGCTAACCGTTGGCACCGACCTTAGTTTTTGTAACCCTCCTTTCCTCTATGTACGATCCCCAAGGGCAGGATTATCCACTCATTGCCCCAGTCTGCTCCAAGAGTGAGGAAACCTATGTAAACCTAACTGCACCTTCTGATTTCCAGAGATTGTTGGCATCTGCCTGCCTTGAGACTGAGAGACAATGGAGTGTACCTCTGGAGGTGAATTAAAATCACTGCATTAGCAGTACTGAAGTGACCTCCCTGGGGTGCAGGCCTGGCCAGTGTGTATGGAGGTACTGGGCTGCCCATAAGACCCCCCTCTCGGCCTCACTGATGTGGTCCAAAGGAAAGCAGAGCAATACCTTTGGCACCTGCTTGACTGCAGGAGTTGCCAAAAGATGGTGTACAAGGCATCATCTAACCATCTTAGAGACTTCACTCCAGATTTGTGTAGGGTAGCCATTTCTTCGCTCGAAGACACCTTGCAAGGCAGCAGTGTTCTCCTTCTCCTAGACTGGGTACCTTCCCAGGTTGACAAATCTCATCTGCCTCACTTCCCTCTACAACACATGCGAAAACCACTTTCTTGATCATTGGACCCACTATTGATCTCATCCTCCCAATCCACTGGAGCCTGTCTTTGCATGCAGGGGAAGTTCCTAACTTACTGAGAGTTTGAGACTCGTTGGATACCCTCGCCTGGTTTAGCTGCCCAGTTGAAGCCGTTCCCATGGCGTGACCACCATTGCATGTTGACTGCTTCTAAGAGTCCCAGGTGAGAGTTGAGTGCAGAGTGGGGACCAAAGGTGGACAAACTACCCCCAAAGGAGCATGATGTGTGTGATCCCCCGGTGGTACTACCCGTCCCCTAAAACCCCATACACCCCAATTTCTGGAGAGTAATTTATTTAAAACAGCATTAAAGAAACAACAGCATTCGCTTTAATATTTTTTTTAAACTAGAGGTGGAAGAAGGCAAAACAGAGCAGTGTTTTTCCCAAGAAGGAGCTGGGAGGATGTGGCACTCCATAACCCCTTTCCAACAAGCCTTTCACAATGAAAACACGCCCTCTGTTCCCACACCCCACCCCACAAAGTGCGGCTTAGAAGAACAGGAACACCACAAGCATAAAGGCCAGGCCCTTCAGAGACAGAATAGTGGGAGGAGAGAGACCTCATTTTAAATACCAGCAGCAAAGTGGAACAGCGTGGTTTCTTACAGGAGAGGTGAGCTCTAAGACCAAAGAGGTTCTTGCTCTCTTGACATTGGCTCTGTCAGAAAGGTCAAAGCAACACCATTGAAGACAAGAACCTAATCCTGTTAAGCCCCACCGTTTCCACCCAGAGTATTAGGAGGTCCCAAGTCTTGTTGGAAGGGGCTGGGGGGAAAGAGAGTGAGAGCGCAGGGGGAAGAGCTGTCTGGAACCAAGAGGCAAACTTCTCCAATATGACAATTCAGGAATAAAGACCCAAGCATCTCTGTACATGAGGGTTCCCCTTCCAGATGTTTGAGGAAAGGTACATGCTGGACAAGGGTGAACTGAAATGCAGAACACGAGCAAAGAGTTCTTAAGAGGGCCGGCAGAAAAATCAGAGGGTGTAGAATCAGCAAATGAATCTATCTCTCTGTATGTGTAATGGAGGGAGAGAATAAAGGAACATTAGTTTCAAAGGTCACTTAATGGTGTGTAAATCCAAAATGGTGTGTAAACAGACAGGCGGGGGAGGGGAGAAAGGTACACATCCATTCTCTCGACAAGCTCACTTTGTAGCACAATTCCAATTTCAATTTCCACAAGTCATCCTCTAAAACAGCCTTCCCTGACTTAGTGCTCTCCAGATGCTTTTGACCAGAACTCCCATCAGCTGTAGAAGCTGGGGTTTATGGGAGTTGTAGTCCAAAGATCTGGAGGGCAGGTCAAGGAGGCTGCCCTAAGCCAAGGAAGTGACTGATATTAGGAGAAACAAACAGCACACCTGCCTCCACACACCAGACACAGGTTCCAGTTATAAAGGTTTTAAGTCTTGCCAGGGCTCTGCCTGAATCATTTCTAAGAGCTATATGCTCCTGTTCCTTTCATCCAGTGACTTTCAGGCACAAGAGGATGAGGGGAAGTGTGGGCTGAAAAAAGAAGTTGGTGTTTTTTTGGGGGGTGGGGAGGAGAACCATTCCAATAAATTTGCCTCCCAATCACACCATCCCAG